GCGTGCTTGCGTGCGTGCGTGCGCGCGTGCGTCTGTGTGCGCTTGTGTGTGCGCGTTTGTTTGGGTGTGTATGCGCGGGCGCATGCGCGTGTGATTGTCGGTTTGGTCATGCGCCAGCGCGCCTATATTCAGAGCGCGAATTACCTACCCCGCTTTCGCTTCCAGGCAAAACCAGGTCATACCACGCGCCTCCTCGTCAAGCGGCCTGACCAGCACAGGCCGTAGTTTGGCATCGTTTGGTATCTCTTGGAAGCGAGGGTGGTCAAAAGCGAGGTAGGTTTGTTTTCCCCCTATATATGTACGTCCAGCTGTACTCGCCACGTCTAGGTGCGTGCGCGCTTGGATTGAGAGCGCGGGCGCATGCTAAACCTGCGCATGACTAAGTGTGCTCGCCAGCGTGGACTCCAAACAGCAATCGGTTGCAATAGAGGTGGTGCAATCAATGTGGTGCAATCTAAGTGGCGCGAGTGATTTTAACAAACGAGTTGACACATCCCATGCGCTTGCAGACATCCCACCCACCCACCCGCAACTTGGTTTGCAAAATCCATGCGGTGGCGATTGTGATGCATGCTTGGCTTTGGCTGGTGCATCTCTGCGGCCGCGCCAACCCTGGCACGCGCGCGCAGTGGCCAGCTAGTTTGGCGCCGCCGACGCGGCCGCGGTGGCGCTGACCGCTGGGCGCATCCCAGCGGGCACTTCACTGCGAGCCGGCAACTTGGGCGGGCGCGTTATTACGGCAACGCCGACTACGGTAGACACGGTGACGATAGTGGCGATGCTGGTGGCGATGTGCGCACCGACGATGGCGCGGCCAGTGCGGGCGCCGATGTTGATCACGCCGGCGACGATGACGGCGTCCTCGCGTCGGTGATGGAGGCTTTGGAGAGACTTCGACGTGCGCGCGCGGCCGACGTGCGAGAGTGGCCCGCATGGGTATATTGACACGGATCGTGCACCCGCAGCACGCGCGCAAGGGCGTGCGAATGATGTCGGCATGCGGCGCCAGTGGCCCGTTTGGCAGAATCCATGAACATGTTGAAACACCGATGGTTGTCTTAAGAATTCGCAAGAGCGCGAGCGCATTTTTTTATAAAAAATTGAAGTTTCGAAACCATGTGTTTTTGATTGTTTTGGACATTCGTTTTTGAAATCCGTCCACAACCAGAATTTTTGAAGGATTTCGGCATGCGCGCGCGACGACGGGCGCGCGTGAATTACGTCTCGTTTTTCGTGAAAGGATTCTCGCGACGGCACGCGCGCAAGGGCCTTCGAACGATTTCGGTACGCGCGCGCGAAGCCCATTCGGTAGTATTTGCTGAAACTGTTGAAGGACCGATGATGTTTTTACGAATTCGCAAGTTCGCACGCGCAAACTTGTGCTTCTTAAACTGTTAGAAAGCAGTGTTGCGAAACCCTGTATTTTGTATGTTGTTTAGGATTCTCGATTTAAAATCCGTCCGAAATCGAATGCTTGTTTGAGAAATTTCGGCATGCGCTCGCGAGGACGCGCGCGTGTGCACTTCGTCCCATTTGTTGCAGTTGATTCTTGGCTACTTATGTTTATTGATAAACGATTGCGCGCGCATAGCATTTTCTGCAGAGGATGGCGGCGGGGTTCGAAACCAGCTGGGCGGGGATGGTACGAGTTCATATTCCGGATGGACGATGGGGCTGAATCGTACGTAAGTCGCAACACGCAAAGGTGTATTGATAATGCCGGGGGCGGGGGGGTGGAAGAGTCTGTTCTCCTTGTGGAGAGGAGAATCCATTTGGTGCAATCTGCGTGGTGCAAAACAACGCAAAGCAATGCAACGCAACGCAATATAAACCAAAACTAAGCAATTCAAAGCGATGCGCCGCAACGCAAAGCAATGCGAAGCAATGCAACGCTCTGCAACGCAATGCAAAGCGACGCGGTCACCGGCGGTGATGAGCCAGCCGGAACGCCATTTGGGCCCAGCGGCGACGGCGGCGACGGGCGGCGACAGGCGGCGTCGAGCCGGCAAGACTGCCATTGGGACCCAGCGGCGATGGTAGCGACGGTCGGCGATGAGCTGGCCAGACCGCCACTGGGGCCCAGCTACTTTAGAACAGAAGTAAGAACCCCTAAGTTCAAGTACTGTTTGGGGCACATACCCGTAGCCCCTGCAGACACTGATAGGAGTGAGGATCGATTTGGGGCTGAAAACCTTTATCAGAGGCAGTTGACTGCAGCTGGCGCCAATTCTGCCACTAGGAGTACCGGCTCTGTATTGGCATCCATCGCGCGACCTATGTGGCACTGAGGTTCATTCTTCAGGTTTGAGTTTCGCATGGGAGATGGCTTACGTACGTGAAAAGGGCCCGCCCCATCATTACAATGAGATGCCCCAGCCGTTTGCGACGATACTTTTCAATCGCTCTCAGGAGAAATTCCCTGCTGGGCCCCACAGTCGGCGGGACCTCAACAGGCAACCTCGCGCTTTTTGAGTGGCACACTTCGCTGGCATTGCCATCTCGTTCTAGATGATGCCTGCCCCGTAACCTGATGAGAGGAAAGGGCCTGCCACAATTTGCCGAAGCCTGAGCACGCAGTGACTTGTCTGTCAGGAAAGAGGGCCCGCACGCCACCGCACGCAAGACCGTCGCTGGACACCTCGCGCAGCAGGACACTATGGAACACCCCAGTGCGCGACGCTCGCGAGACTCCACCATGACCCCCAGAGCCAGTTTTTGTTGTTTTGTCCTCTCGCGATAACGGCCGAGGGGGGGAGGGAGGCGGGGGGGGCCGAGGGCCGGTAGCGTCACGATTCGCGCGGGGCCGTTTGTGAATCAAGAGTTAGCTACTCTTAGCATTTCCAGACGGCGCCAGCGCGACTCGTGACGTTACCACGGGGAGAGGGGGAGGGGGGAGGCATCCCCGGTAAATGGCGTTATCGCGAATCGGTAAAAAGCGCTGCCAAATCCGAGCAGAACCTTATCATGCCCCCACAAAGGTTTCTATCAGGACTCCCCTGCCATGGCTATGCCATGGCCTCGTCCGAGCTGTTCCACCGCCCTGCACGGGCCCTACTACCACTAGGACCGAAGCCGCGGCAATTCTTGCTAGTAGGATGTTCTGCCGGTGAGACTGAAACTTTTCGAAATGATTGGCGCCCACGGTCGATCCGGTTTGTGGCACGTCAGAGCCTCGTAGTCAGGTGTCTGGTCAAAAGCTAGGCGTTTGGTACGTCGCAGCGTGGCACAGGCAGTCCGCTCGCGCATTCTAGTAACGTAGCCAGGGACGCGCAGCGTATTCGTTAAGCGGCAGCAAGAGAAGGAAGGAGGAAGAAGGCGGCCGCAGGAAGCTGGCGGGGGATGGGGGCACTCACCGCGAAAAGAGTTTTCGGATGAACTGCCGGTGCGGCCAGCCTGTGCTGGGGCGACCTGGTACTGGACGCGGAGCGGCATCGCGACCACAGGGGCTGAAGCCAAGGCTGCAGGCGCTGCAAAAGCGTGGAGCGAGGCGAACCAGTAGTTCATGAGGGGGAGGAGGAGGAGGAGGAGGAGGAGGAGGAGGAGGAGGAGGAGGAGGAGGAGGAGGAGGAGGGGCACGCGTGCCCACAGCGGCAAGAGGGGGAGCGTCCAAGTGTCCGTCACGAAGCCGTAAGCGTCAGACGTTGCTGCAAAGGTACGGCGCCAGCAAGAGGCAGACACGGACTGAGCGTCCGTGGCGGGATACGGGGTTGCGAATGGCGTGCCGCAGCAATTTGCGGCAGTGCTGAGCTCACGGGCTGCTGAGCTGGTGAGCTACTGATTTGCCGCAGCGGTGCAGCGGGGCAAGAAACCACCTGCCAACGCCAGGGAAGGCCCAAGCGGCAGGGGGCAGGAGCAGGGGGGAGGGAGGAGCCACCGACCCGGCCGGTGCACGCATCACAGCCGGGGCGGGGCGGGGGCGCTTGGCAACAGGGCTGGCCAGGCATGGGCGCCAAGCTGCAAGAGCAGCGGGGCTGGCGGCCCGGCGAGAGCAGGGGTTGCCTTGGAGCACGCGTCCAGTGACAGAGGCCTTGCCGCCAGTTTGGATGTGCCAGCGTAGGGTCAAGTGCGGGTGGCGTATCCATCAACAAGCGTTCCTTCTTCTTTCTCGTTCTGTGTTCGGATCTCTCTCTCGCTATTTGCTTTGCGTTACGCCATTCCGTCCTTCGCCCTTCTCCTCCTTGCCTCTTTCCTCCCTCTTCTCTTTCGGGCGCCTCTTGAGGGCGCTGCGGGCACATTGGCTCACCTACCATGATTTCTGTGTTCCTCCCTTTTCTCCCTCCCTTCCCTCGCTCCACTCTCTCTTCCCCCTCTCTTTACAAGCACACATTATGAATACTCCTCTCTGTCCCCTGGCTCTTTGCGGGAGATCAATGGCCCTCTCCGCGTATTTGTTCACAGGGTTTCAGGCAATGATTTCCAAATGTGTTTTCACCGCCCGATTTTTCGGTGTTTCAACATAGTACTTCCGCTGCAGCGTGGGTTTCACTTTCGGATCGCGGCTGAGCTCCCGTTGTTCAGAATGGCGCTCTCGCCCCAGCGCGGGCAATGTTTCTGGCTAAGAGTTTTTTTCATCGTTGTCGTCCCTCTCATTTCCCCACCTCCGCCTTTCCTTGGTCCTTCTGCTCCTCCCACTCCTTCCACTCCAGTTCTTGCTGCTGCTGTTCGTCCACGTCTTTCTTTTTTATCCTCCTCATGTTACTTCTGATCATCCTCCTGCTCACCCGCCATCTCCTCTCCCATGTACGCAGCCCCCCTTTCCCGATGCTGCAGAGCACGACGGGGTCTTGTTTGGAGTTCCAGGTTGGCCATGAAACGCGTCCGCGGATAGAGAAACAATCAGCGCAGTAACAAGGGATGGGAAGGTGGGATAGGATGTCAGACATGGCGCGAGCGCACCTAGCCTGCCCTCCCCACTCTCCCCTCTCCCCGCCCACTGTGGCGTCCATCGGATTCCGCATTCGGTCGAAAGTCCTCTCTCCCCGCCCTCTCCCTTCCGCCAGGCACGAAGCTGCTGCGCTCGTCTGAAGGCTCCAGCGGGTGGGGTCTGCTGCGCCCGTCACCCAGTCTGCCTGCTCAGTCGGTGCGTGGGCTGTTTCGCGGAAATGGTCTTGCGCCAGGGTTTGATCTCTCCATTTTCGGTTGGAAGCGGGTAGAGGCCAGCAGCAACAAAACAAGGTCGGTGCTTCCAGAGCGGGGGGAGGGGTGGCGTGAAGTTGTGGGCGGTGGCGGCACTTATGTGAGGGAGCGGTGAAGGGAACAGGCATTGCATACAAGGGAAGCTGTTTGGGAGGAGTTGTGGGGAAGAGGTGGAGCGGGTAGGGGAAGGCCGCGTGACGAGGGATTGAGTCGGCTCTGGCTTGTGAAGCAGATTCTCCACGGGGGACTGCTGGAAGGCTCAGAGCCAGGTAGAAATTCGCAACATGAGTGCGCACCTTTTAGTCAGATGCATCCCCAACGTCGCCAATGCATCGGAGTTGCTGCGCAATTCTCCGACCCCGAAAAACTCGGATCCTGTTTGGCAGGCCACTGCCGTCTTCACCGACCGTCCGCACACGGGCGAGCTCTCCACGATCGAACTATGATTTGATATGGCGCGCACACTCGAGTGGCCCGCGCACTCCGACGCCCCTTAACGCAAACAGCCATGGCCAGGTCACGTGCGCGGAGATCGCCCTCCTGTATGTATGAAGTCTGTGCGCAGTCCCGCTTGCCGGTGTGTACCAGCGACAAGCATTGGCTCCTGCTCGATCTGGAGCTCGATGCCCCCTTGCAAGACGCTGAAGGCATGTCTATATGTATTACTATATATACATATGTATGTTCTGAATTGCGTCATGTGCTGCTGCGCACCTCCTGGCAACGTCCGAGATCGCGGCCCCTGGATTCCAGATCTACCCACCTCGTCGGACTTCTACGTCTCCCTGCTTGCACGCCCATGCTCCGGCACACACGTTCAAGAGTTTCATGCTCTGAGCTTGCTCCGTTCCCTTTCGCGCGCCCGCCCTCCTCCCTCGCCCGTTGTGCCCAATAATGCCCCGTAACGCCCCTCGGCTGCCTCCGAATGCTGCGTGGATTCTCGCCGCTGCGACCAACAGCAAATTTGCGTGTCTATGTGTTTATAGTAAAGTACTACATATGTATATATGTATATTTGTATACACATACATACATTCATTCATACATGCGTGTACGCATACATGCAGACAAACATACATACATGCATACATGGTTACATACATACATACACACAAGGACACGCATATGAACTTCCACATCTAGACGTATGTGTATGTATGTTGTTGTGCTGCAGCGCGATTCCGCCATCGCGTTCGGGCGGGCGTCGGGGAATCGCCTGCGGGGACCATTCCGTTGCCAGAGAGTGGGCGAGAAAACAACGACTTGGTGGAACAGATGAAGGGATGTTGGGTTCGATACGCTGGGGGACTTCAACCATTGCTTCGCAAGAAGCGAAGTAATGAATAAGGCGCTGCGGTCTTCCGTCGGTGTCTGTCAGGGGATGTTGGATCTTCCTCGTGCGCGACAGGCCCGTCGGGCGCCTTCGGGGACCGTGTCCGGCGCCTCGACCAGCAGTCGTTTTCGGCCACATTTGGGCGCCGTGCCTTCACGTTGGAGCTGTCATGGGCCGTCATGGTGGTTTCTTGCGGGCGCTTCCGGGCGCGCGTCCGCGGGGCAGTGCGATTCCATGTGGTATTTTCCATGTGCCGTTGCAGGTGGACAAGGAAGGGACGTTCAAATGAAACGCAGGCTATGTCGGTGAAGGCAAGCATGGGACGTACATCAGCTAGAGCAACCGCTTTTGTCGACGTTGCTTGCCGCGTGTGTCGGTTCCCTCGCGGGGCTTCTCGAGGGCTTTGTCGCCGCCTTTTGGGGCTTTCGGGTGTTTCTTTGGAGTTTCTTCCGGTTTTTCGGGGGGGTCTCTGGGAGTTCCTGGGAGGCCTCCTGGAGCTTGTGGACTTCGAGGGTTTTTTTGAGGGTCTGTTTGGGGTTCTTGGGAGCTTCAGTACAGCTTCCTGGGGGCTTTTTGGGGGCCTCTTGGGGCCTCAGGAGTCCCTCTTGGAACCGTCGCGGGGGCCTCTTGGGCCGTCTTGGAACTGTTTGGAGACCCCTCGGGTCGCCGTGGGCGCTGTGAAGACCAACGCGGCGATAACACTACGCATTCACAACAATCGTATGTTTTTGCAGTTTATATCATCTCGTAGGCGACCTGGAAGGCTTCTCTTTGCCGTCTTGGGTGTCCATGAAGCCCCATCGCGACAGTTTATGGCGATGCGCAGCCTTGTCCGACTGGGGGGCAAGGGTGGCCGTCTTGGAGTCCATTTGGCGTCATCGTCGCCGCTTGCGACGGTTTCTGCCCATCGCCGTGGAGGGAGGGCGAGAGTGTCGGGTAGGCGCCCAGGAGGGGGCAGGTGCCGCGGAACCGTGCGTCCGTTGACGCCTTGTTTGGGATCATTTTGGGTTGGGAAGGCCAAAATCGCAGGGATGTGCATCCAACAGCGGGCGCGCGTTGGGTTCGATGCGTCCGGCGGCGGGCTCATTCGAGTTTACTCAAGAAGGCGAGGTCAGGAAAAAGAAAGGCGCGACACACACACACACACACACACACACACACACACACACACACACACACACACACACACACACACACACACGCACGCACACACACACACACACACACATTCACGCGCACGAACACACGCACACGCACACGCACACGCACACGCACACGCACACGCACACACACACACACACACACGCACACACACACGCACACACACGCGCGCACACGCACGCGCACACGCACACGCATACGCACATGCACACGTACACGTACACGCACACGCACACACACACACAAGTACACACTCCAACCACTACAATCGCGGTGGCGGATACACATACATATATGGCAGTGCTATGTATGTGTGTATGTGTGTATGTATGTTTGTTTGTGTATATATATGTGAATGTGTATGGGTACAAACATGCATGTATCTACGTATGTATGCATGTGACCATGTATGTATGTCGGAGGTGAGGGGGTGAGATCGAAGTGGAGCGGAGAGCCCCCCTACCGGGAAGTCGATTTCGGTTTCGTGTTCGTGCGTGCCGTGCGGGCGAGGCGAAGCTGCGTGGGCGGGCGAGAGGAAAGTCTCCTGTGGCTGAGGCGCGGCCGGACCAAATGATTCTCCGCCGGGCGGCCCGTGGCGCGCGGTGTCCCGCCGGTGTCCCGCCGGTGTCCCGCTGGTGTCCCGTGTGGCTGAGGCGCGGCCGGACCAAATGACTCCCTTCCGGGCGGCCGGTGGCCCGCGGTGTCCCGCCGGTGTCCCGTCGATGATGATGATGATGATGATGATGATGATGGTGATAATGATGATGATGATGACGATGACGATGACGATGACGATGACGATGATGATGATGATGATAATGATGATGATGTCGATGATGTTGATGATGATGATGGTGATGGTGGAGATGATGATGGTGTCCCGATGATGATGATGTTGACGATGTTGGTGATGATGGTGATAGTGGTGATGATGATGGTGTCCCGATGATGATGTTGATGATGATGTTGCTGATGATGATGGTGTCCCGATGATGATGATGTTGATGATCATGATGATTTTGACGATCGATTATCATGATGATGAAGATGATGATGACGGTGTCCCGATGATGATGAGGATGAAGATGAGGATGAGGTTGATGATGATGCTGTTAATGATGATGGTGATGATGATGGTGTCGCGATGATGATGATGACGTTGATGATGATGATGACGATGATGGTGTCCCGATGATGATGATGATGATGATGTTGATGATGAGGATGATGATGAGGTGATGATGATGAATTTGATGATGGTGGCCCGATGATGCTGAGGATGCTGATGTTGATGATGATGGTGTCCCGATGATGATGTTGATGATGATGATGTTGCTTATGATGATGGTGTCGCGATGCTGATGATGTTGATGATGTTGTTCATGATGATGATCATGAGATGATGATGGTGTTCCGATTGATGACTATGACGGTGTCCCGATGATGATGTTGTTGATGATGACGATGGTGACGATGATGGTGTCCCGGTGATGATGATGATGATGACGATGATGATGATGATGATGGTGGTGGTGGTGGTGATGAGGTGATGATCATGATGATGAGGTGATGATGGTGATGGTGTCCCGATGATGATGATTATGATGATGATGATGTTGATTGTGAGATCGATGGTGATATCGATAATGAGATCGACAGTGAGACCGAATGTGAGATCGATTGTGAGATCGATCGTGAGATCGATAGTGAGATCGATTGTCAGATCGATAGCCCGATCGATTCTGAGATCGATCGAATGAAATAAATCGAGTGGGATCGATGGTGAGATCGATCGAGTGAGATCGATCGAGCGAGACCGATAGTGAGATCGATAGTGAGGTCGATAGTGAGATCGATAGTGAGACCGATCGAGTGAGACGTTGGTTCCTCCCCCCCCCGAACCTCCTTATCACCCGAAGGGTGGTCGTATAGGTATGGATGGATGTATGTATGCATGTCTATAATGTGTGTATGTGTGTATGGATGTGTAAAGAGAAGTCACGAGTGTAGTCGTTTTCGTACACCATATATCGGAGGTGAGGGGGTGAGATCGAAGTGGAACGGAGAGCCCCCCGACCGGGAAATAGGTTTCGGTTTCGTGTTCGTGCGTGCCGTGCGTGCGGGCGAGGCGAAGCTGCGTGGGCGGGCGAGAAATGTCCCGCCTCTGGCTGAGGCGCGGCCGGACCAAAAGTCTCCATTACAAGCAACCGGTGCCCCGCGGTGTCCCGCCGGTGTCCCGCCGGTGTCCCGTCGGTGTCCCGATGATGATGACGATGTTGATGATGATGATGATGATGATGATGATGATGATGATGGCCATGGTGGTGATGATGACGGTGTCCCGATGATGATGGTGTTGATGATGCACATGTTTTTGATGATGATGATGGGGTCCCG